AAGTTCAAAAGGGAGGCTATCCTCAGTTCCCTTCTGGCCAAGAAGAAAACATTTTGAGTTTAGTGAATTTTGTGTGTTATATAAGCTTTATTTCCCCCTTTTTTATTCATATTGTAATAAATTATAAAATTACTGGGTTACAAGAAAGAAATCACTGGATTTCTTCAGAAATATGGCTCACCGATCGCCAAACGATAAAATTTCTAAATACTCGTAGTTCGATTCCAGGCAAATGGGCTGGCTGCTTGGGCATTTTCATTGTTTTTTCCCGTGTGTAATAAAGATACCAACCAGTTTGCTTTAGAAATCTCTTTGGGAGACTTTATAAATATATTGAAATGGATGCTTTGCTGTTAAGCACAGGAACATAAATAAATACACAATGCTAATGAAAATATCTGTCTTGTCTGATATGCAATATGGAAAAATTGTAGCCGGTAGCCAATTAGTTACTAAAATTCGAAATAGTATTCTGTTCTCGACATCTCTGGCTAATATATATATATGTTAGATATAACAAAATACAATGGCTGCTTTAACCCATTAGCCACTGGTGTTGTGTTGAAGCAACGGTCAAAATAAATGCGTATATAAATATAACTACCTAAGATATTTTATACCAGCAGATGATTTTGTGTAGGAAATATTATGAAGATTATTTCTGTAAAAAAATATTTGCCTTCAACAATCCTTTTGTTTATAATAATTAATCTCATACTTTAAGCAAAATTTCAACCGGGTATTTTTACTTAAAATATTTAACGAAAGAATCGCCGTCTTTATGAGTGATCTATTTTTATTCAAGGTCACCATTTATCAGAACATTACATCAGTCAGATGTTTATATTTGTGTTGGGAAGAAAGGGAAAACAGGTGTTGCGTTGACGCAACGTCAGCAGGAAACGGGTAGTCAATCTCCTTTTTAACTCATTCCTTTCGATCTTCTGTTTCATGTTCTGGTTGTTTAAAAATGCCTAGAACGACGTATCTTACATTAGAAGAAGCCCTTCAAAGAATTTTGATGAAGAAACAGATGATGATAATGTTAATAATGACCAGAATGAAACTGATATTGTTGTTGTTCCCCCAGAAATTGCAGAGGCTAGTGACGAAGAAGAAAGGAATAGCAATGTTTTAAATAATGATAATGATATTTTACCAAATGATACAGCTGTGGATGTTGAAATTCACGTAAAAAGTAAGTTTCAGCCTTGTAAAAGCAGTTATAGTCATACTAAAAAGTTTAAAAAGCAGAAGACTGAAATCTTGAAGTGGATAAAAAAAGGAACTATTAGTTATGTCTCAGAAAGAACATGAAGAAAGAGATAGAAGAGAAATTATAAAAGACAAAACACAAGGTAAAGCTAGTGCATGTATTTTCAATTTTCTTTTTGGTTTAGACATTTACTCTCTTCTTGTTGAACAGACAAATATATACGCTCAGGGAAAAAATGCTCATAATTTATTGCATATGAAGTCTATATGAGAAGATTTATTGAAATATTATTGCTTTCAGGATATCATTCTTTACCTCAAGAAAAAATGTATTGGTCTTTTGATAAGCACATTTCTGTTCCTGTTGTATGAGAATTGATATCACGTTTGCAGTACAGGAATATGAAGCAGAATTTGCATTTGACAATACTGATAAATTATATGAGGTGAGACCGTATCTAAACTTACTAAATATCACCACTTTTTACTACTGGAAATATAAAGTCTGTTTTAGATTTCAGACGCGAGAATGCATTATTCTTTTTGCAAACTCCTATTGAGAGTGTAGAATTAGCCAGAAATATATCAGCAACAGAAAGACATAGTAAATTCAGCATTCAAAAACCATTGCATGGAGATGGTAGACATTTTATCGTTAAGTCCGTTGATAGCAAATGACTTTGTTGTAAAGAGTACCATAGCCAGACTGTTTATAGATGCAAAGTATGTAATGTAGCTTTACATCATGATTGTAATCAAGCTTTTCTTGCTTGAATCTTTCAAATGAAATAATCTGTATTTGTAAAAGAAATACAATGTATATTTTAATATTAAATTAATTACAAGTAAAGTGATTTGTAGATTTATAAAGGGTTATACAGCTAAAAAGTAATCCTGCGCTCCACTCAAAAGAAACATCACACAAGTACAATCCTACTCGCTAAACATTCGTAGTCTTATTCCGCTGACGTTGCACGAACGCAACACTCGCTTTTTCCACAGGTAAGAGCATTTTCTAAATTTTAAATGTAAATTTATGTTATAAATGCTTAATTTAATATTTGTTATTATTTTCATGAGAAAAGAAACATTCCTTGTAGTTTTGGCAGTTAATGGGTTAAGAAATGATTGCTGACCTCAAAATTAACTATTCTAGATTTTATGTTCTCCCTCCCCCTTAAATTCATCTGTTCTCCCAAATTTGAGATCTTTCCATATTACATAACCTAAAATTAATCACAGATTTGCTGTGCTTATGCATCATACTTAGTATAAATACTCTTTGCAGAACAATTACATCATTCCTTTTCCTAGCTTCCGCCATACAAACATCGCTGCTTTGCTTCTCAGTCTAAGATGCCTGCATTTTTCTTACCTTTGAAACCCAACGTACATAAAAATTATTATATTTAAATATGATTGGATAAATATCGTCTGCACCAAAAGTGAGCTGATGCGAATTATCATAGAATAAAATTGTGTTTAGAAATGGCCATGTCTGGAAGTTACTGGTTTTTGGATCTATCTCTCTATCTACGCAACTAAAATATTGCATGTATATATGTGAAATCTAATATGTACGTATTAAGTTTATGTGTAGTAATCTGCTTAGTTAGGAAATCAGGAAATTTGATTTACTATTTATTCCATATTCTAAAGTGTTAACAAAAATATTTGCTTGCATTTTCTGCTGCTTCTAAGAAATTTCTTCATCAGTACCATTTTGCTGTTAAGCACAGGAACTTAAATAAATACACATATATTAACTTTTATTGAACTAAGGAAAAATATCTATCTCTTCTGATGTGCAATATGCAAAAAATGTATCTGGTAGCCAATTAGTTACTAAAATTTGAAATAGTATTATGTTCTCATCATCTCTGGCTAATTTATATGTATATATAATATGTTAAATTTAATTGTGTATGTTAAATGTAATATGTATATATTAGTGAATTTGGTTTACTCTATTAGTGGCTGCTGAATACTTATTTATTCTATATCGTAAAGTGTTAGCAAAAATTGCATTCATTTTTTTTTATATGCATAAATACGGTTTTGAGACTATTAAAAATTTTTGCAATTTTAATTTTGAGCATTATGTTTCATTTCAGATTTAGATTCTTTAATTCAGTGTTGATTGATTAAAGATATATATAACTGCCAGTAATTGATTCACTGTTAAAAATTATGAAACATTCAGTGAAACAGGAAGAAAAGTCAACTCGGATTCTTATTCCCTTTTGAAGCAATTGTAATTCTTTGTGTAATTTTGTCTTGAATTCAGACAGAGTAGTTATCTTAAAATCTGAAGAGTAGTGGAAGAAATTGATGAGCAATAACACAACAAAAAAAAAAAAAAAAAAAAAAAAAAAACTTTAACACAGTCAGTTACATTGTATTTTGATCTTTCTCATTAGCAACAACACTAGAAAATACTTTGTTACTAAGCTTGAAAAGTCACCTAATGTTTTTACTAGTTTTACACCCTTTTGAAATGAGATAACTCCAAGAAATTTAAATGTAAATAAAATGCTATTAACTACTCATGAAAAAAAAATATTTTTACAAAAGTTTTAATAATTTTTCAATTATTATCTTTAATTTTTCAAAAATAAAATATCTAGTCATAAAATGATTATTTTAATTAAAAATTTTTTAGTTAATCAGTAAGAATTATTACACTTTAAAGAAATTTAATTTTGCTTCTGCAAATTTCCTTTTAAACATAATTAGGATTGCTCTGTAAATAATGTGGGATTATTAAGAAGGGGAGGGGAGTACTTAAATGAGTCAGCTATAGCAAATTCATTTCACTCTATTCACAAACCAGGTGCTTTCTTTTGTGTCTATTAATATTTTGCGTGCAAGCGATTGTTACATTGTGTATATTTTTATGGAATATCGGGACATTGAATGGCTGCACTTTTATTTTCTTTCTTTAATTGGAATCTCATTAGCTGGTAGATGTTATGTCATCTTTCTTTATTTAGATAATTAACTTATGTTTTTAGTTACTTATTCATCTTGATAATTACCCTATATTTTTAGATATTTTTCCAATTCTCACAAGAAACCAAAGTGAGGAAAGGGTTAATTGTATTCGTAATCTCTTATGGCAAACAACTTAGGTATATCTGCCTATAAAGTGAGTACCTTGCGGAGAACTTTTTGAAGGAAACTGGCTTACGTTTATGTTTATGTTACACATGGGGAAAACCAAGAGAATGCCCATGCAGTTAGCCCATTTGCCAGAATTCAAACCTAGGTCAAATAGCAACATTCAGCAGCTTTACCCTTTTGGCTGCTGGTAGACCTTAAGAGAAAAAGGTCAACTTTAAATCGCAGACGTTAGAAATAAAGTAACAGATGTTAAAATTTAGCAAGAAAGTGCTGTGAGGTTGTGTTGCTAGTGGGAAAGTAATACATTTGTGCACTATTGATGATATTTTCTTTTATGAAGATTAATTTCTTTTCATGTTCATGCTATTTTTATGACTAATAATAATATTTAAGTTGTTTAGTTACTTGAAATGCTATGTTGGAAGTTTTTGCTAAAATATATAATTTTTAATATTGGTTTTAATGAATTATTTAACAGAAAAATTGTATGTGAAAAATTATAATTTTTATTTCTCTGAAGTTTTTCTTAAAATATTTCATGTTTATATAAAAAAAAGTTTGTGTATGTATGTAAAGAAAAAGAGTATAGTAAACCATTATGTTAACTATTAATTTTTAATATAAATTCTTCTAATTTTTTCTTCTGTTGATTTTTATTTTAGATGCCTTATTTGATTTGCTATTAGACATATCTTCATCACCATCCATATTGGACCAAGCACACAGTAGTTATACTTGCAATCTTACTTCTTTTGCTTGTGCTTGCCTTCTTAGTCTAGTAATTGCAAGAGGTGATACTGGCAAATTGCTTAGTGCAGCTTCTGCAATGCTTATGAGCTCTCAAGCTCTTGCTTCTGAAGAAATTCCAGTAAGTGATTGATTTTTGATAACATAACATCTGAGTTTGCATTCCCCAAAATATTTCTGATCTTATAAGTTTTACATATATATATATTAAAAAAAGGGTTTTAAATATTTGTTACTTTACTATTTCATGGACTGTGAAACTCTCACAAAGCAACACGACTGAGCACCAATTATGGATAAGCATGATGTAACAACACATTTATAATATCTAGGTTTTCATTTGACCAGAGATCAGTTAATTCTCGATAAATTACCTTTTGTATTTATGGACAAGGATATATATTACATTAATTTACAGTATTTTTTCTTTCATTTTGAAAAACAACATAAAAAAAGTATTAAAATTTGGGGCCTATCTTTTACAGAATAACAAGTAGTGGATTATTTTCAAAGTTATAGGATTATAGCATAAAAAAGTGTGTATTAATGGGCTCATTATGGTCAGTTGAATAAAGTTGGCAAAACTGTATTAGATTGGACCAAATTACCTGCAGGAAGTTTGTATTCATCGCATTTCAAACAGAGCTTCAATTAAGATCAGAGGATCTAGACATCAGTTCCTTCACAGTTCAGCTAGAACAATTGGTGCAATTATGGAGGGATCTCTGCCAACTGTCATGGTCAGCATAATACTTAAGTGCCATATTATTATTATTTTTATTTTAAAATTGTGCAGTTATATAACTGTAGAATATGTATTGTTATTTATTTTTTAGTTACAGGAGATCTGAATTATTGTATTCTTTACTTATGAATTGGCTTTTAGGTTTGCTATGAAGAAAACTTGTAATTAAATAATTTTGTAAATAATTTAAGAACTAGTTTTTTTATGTATTGGGGGGGGCTTGTGTAAATAGTTTGCTAATGCTAGTGCCTAATAATATTTTTTATACCGGGTTATTGATAATTCCTTCCGGAGTTACAGACAGCTATAATAAAAAAGCTAAGATGAATGCAGAAAAAAAAAAAAAAAAAAAAAAAAAAAGAACATTTCACTAAATGCAGAAACAATTCAAGTTTTATTTATAGCCCTTACAGATATTTTATGCATGAACCCTTTGTTGTCACATGGCATGCATCAATGCTATATTCCAGTTCTTGTTTCATCTCTATTTAACACGGTATTATCAACAGTATTGACAGCATGTGTGATCCTTTCATGCAGTTCTGCTAAATCACATGGTAGAAGGATATACCAAAGTCTTTTACATAGCTCCCACAAGCAAAAGTCAGACAGTGTTAATTCCGGTGAGCATGGGGGCCATTGCAAAAGAAGTACGTCATCTTCGGAAGCTCACCCAATCTAATGGTGAGGTAATTAACTCAGTCTAATGGTGAGGTAAGATATTCACACGCATCCTGCGGAAAATGGCGGGGGGAGCTGCTTGTTAGAAAACAAAGTCATTATCCTTATGTTCATGTAACTGTGGCATTAACCACAATTGTAGCATATCCATGTACACTACACTGGTAACAGTTCGCTCCATTAAAAAAAAAAAAAAAAAAAAAAGGCCTGTAATCGCAGCAGGAGGAGATAGCACAGATAACTTTTGGGGAATCACAACACCCCAAATGTGTAAGTTGTGGTGATTTACCTTCTGGACAAGTGAAAGGTGGATTCGTCACTGTAAGCCATTTTCTGCAGCAGTGAATCATCAGCATGCACATCAACTCAAAAGTTTATTGTGGAAGACAAAAAGTTTATCAGCAGTACATTTTTAAATTTGAAGGTGGCAATTAATACAAGCACGTTAAAAGCGTTAATTCTATAAAATAATTACTGCACCTCTGTGGGTTAGGTTTTTTTTATTCTTATTTATTGGCAGGTAAAAAAATTCAAACTTTTGCTCACATACAGTTCTTTTCTGCTGAATGAAAATAAGCTTAACTAAATAATTATACATACAGGCTGTAATTTAAAGATCACATTGAATCACATCATTAAGAAACTAGCAAATAAAAATTTAATAACTGTTACTGGAAAGTTATTAATAATCATAGAGCGTTAAATTTGTGAGCTACCAATTAGAATATATTTTTATTCATCAGTGGCATTACTTTTTAAATTTAAGGCCTGTTTGTGTTTATTTTTGGCTTTAGCATTAGAAATTTAATATTTATTCATATTTATTTTTAACTCAAAAGAGACATTAGGCCTAAAGCCTGTATTTTGAATTTGTTTTATTATCTCTTTTGTTTTTGTAAAACTTGAGCGAATTTTTGATTAACAAACTTAATCATTTCAAAGTGAGCAGTGACAATACTGTATGGGGGGGGGAACACTTTTATCTCCAATACTTCAGACTATTTTTCAGAAATTCTAAAGATATGTTACTTTTAAATATTTTGTGATTTCGCTGTAGAATTGAATTTTTATATGGTCTAAGTGCCACGAATGTGATATTTAATAATAACGTAAATACACAAAATGTTAATAAAAAGGCAGAAAAATGTTTTGTAAAGCCATCTTAGTAAGAAAACTGAACAATAATATGATGAACTAAGAAAAGATAGAAAATTGTATGCCAAAACATAAAGCTACATTAAAAATTCTAAATGTATACTGCTATGCTGCTTTTAAAATTTTTGTAATTTTGTTTTTGAATTGCATGTGGCGTAACTGTGAAGAAAATAATGTTTAATAGTAAAGCTAAAAAAAAAAAAAAATTAGTAGGCGTGAGTGTAACAGCAGATTGATGTACTGCGATTGCAGTGAGAGTGTAAAAAACTTTAACAAGCCCTTTTGAGTGACTGTTAAAATCTGAAACCTTTCAGATTACCTATTTTGTAAAACATTAATGAATTTTTAAATGTATTTTTGATTAAATTTGATAGTTTGCCAAACTATCAAATACAACACACACACCACAAAAAGAAAGTGCCAAAAACTGCATTGAAATTGAAATACAGGAAGTGTTATTTCAAAAAATTATTCTCATCCTTTGTGGAAACAAGAAAAATATAAAAAATACTGATAATTATATACTGAATTATTTCTGAATCAAAATTATTTATTTGTTTATTTATTTTTAAACACACATGTGTAAGATGATAACAATATGTGCAGTAAATGTAATGGTATTTGAATTTTTATGATTTCAGACTCCTGGTATAATGTCATCCCTTCAAAGAAGTGTACATGCTGTTTTGTTTGGTAAAACTATCGGTCCTGATTGGCTTAGCCATGGTTTTCCAAACAGTGCTTTGTGTGGTTCATTTTTTGTACAGATTCCTAAAAGTATTTAATCAGATATTCTTTTATCTTTATCAAATATTTTAAATTTATGTGCCTATATATCATATATAATTTATATGTATTGTCATATTTAATATACATTTTTTTTTTTTTTTTTAAATTTGTGCAGCCAAATACAGGCAAGGTTCACCTATTACTAGTGATGGAAAGTATTTGTATATTTTTTCTGGAGGATCAATTTATAAAGTTGGCTCGGGCTTTGGTGGTACTATCAAGGTATTTTCTTTTATTTTTTTATAATTTATTTATTTATTATCACAATTTATATGACTAAATTTAGAATTTTGCATTTCAGTACTATAACATATTTCACGTGTAAATATGATTTGATTTGGAAATATTTCTATATGCACTATGTAATTAAATGTGAAGGTATCATAAATGAATAATTTGTGATACATTTATTATTATTATTTGAATTCTATCAAATATAATGGTAGTGATTAAACTTATAGACATGTTTGCCAAGAAATAAATGTATTTTTAATTCTAAAAATTCATAAATAGTTATAATTTAATGTTGGCATTTTTTAAATGCTTTAATTATCTATCAAAATAATTCATTATTAAGTTAATAATAATGGAATTTAGTTTTCTGTTATGCTAATTTGAATAATAGCACTTAATAATTTTGCATATTTTGCTTTTATTCTTTTTGAACAATAAATTTATTTCTTCAAAACTTGTAAATAAAATAATAGGAATTATACCTGTATATGTCATTTAATATTAAGATAATATGTTGTTTCTTACTGTGGTATTTGTATATTTATTTATATGTACTATTACATTATTACTGTTATTGCCATTAACACAGAGAATGGCAATGATATTGCTGTTTTTTTCATTCAGCCAGCAGTGAGGTAACACTGAGGAGAATGAACAGAGGTCTACTTTGTTCCATCTTCTTAATTTTGTTTTGAATTGAGACAATGGTGCAGCCAATGTAGATGTGTAGGAATGGCAAAAAAGCGACCTCCTAGAGACAATTAGTTTAAAAAATATGAAAGTGTAGAGATAATTTGAGAAAAGAAAATTTGGCTTTGTTTTTGAATTGTGATTTGATTTTGTTTGGTTTAGTTTTATTGCCCATAAGACCGAAAATGTTCGAAAGAGAAGGAGATAGTGATATGTAGAGTGTATTATTTTTATGATCTAAAGGTCGACATCGCCGCATATTACGATTGTGATCATTGGAAGATGATGATTCATTATACCTGGTAACGAAACTTGACATTGACAGTTGTGGCGTAAGTGCCAATGAAACCAGTGGCCAAAATTTCTGGTTTGATCCAAAAGGCCAAACAGCCAAATGTTGTGCCTTTTAAAGAGCCTATGGTGACAAAACAAATAAATAAATAAAAGATTAAATTATTAATTAAAATTAATAATTTTTAAATAAATTTTAATAAATATAATTGAAATGACTACATTTATTTTTAAACTTTGATATTGTTGGTCCCTAGGGACCAATGCCAACCAAACAAAGTTCGCTATCGATTCCCAGGAACTAGCACTGCACTTAATGTGTTAATAGATATGTTTTCTTGTAAATGTAGTTTTTTTGATTATATTTGTTTGATATAATGCATTTTTGTTATTATCTGTTAATGAAATAAAAGTTAGGATATTCAAACTGTTTTTAAAACTATCAATTTGAAAATTTTTGAAAGGTACTGTACATGTATTATCAGTTCATCGGGTATATATCTAGCATATTCAGAAAGTAAATTCTATTTATCTGCAAAGAAAAAACACATTTTTTTTTATCACCACAATGTTTTGAACTATTGGGCCATATAAAAAGTCTCTGTGTTTTTTGGGTACATTTTTGAACAAAAATTGTCTTTATTGAAAATCAATTTTGATCAAGTACATATTGACCATTACTATCTGTGACCTTTTGCCATTTCATAATTCCATTGGTTTAGAACTTCTATGGTTTTATTGTCGAAAAACTTGTCCAAGTGATTTTCAGTGGCGCTTTGGTCAGCCAATTTTTTACCATCAAGAGAGACTGGAATAGACTGAAACAAATGGTAGTTAGATGGTGCAAGGTCGGGCTGTATGGCGAGCGTATCAGAACTTCTCAACCAATCTCTGTCAATTTTTTTTAAGTCATCAAAGATGTGAGTGTTCGAGCATTGTCATGTTGGAACACAACTCTCTTTCTGTTAGCCAATTCTGGTCGCTATTTCTCGACTGCTTCATTCAAACAGTCAAGTTACGCACTGTACAGAGCAGCATTTCACTGATAGTAATTCAGTCAATCAAATTTCTTTGCATTAATTCATGTGGCACTCAAACATCGAGCTTTTTTTTGTAGCCTGCTCTTTTCAAATAATTCCAAACTGTCATGTGGTTGATGTTTAGTGCCTCCGCTGTTTCTGACAGCTTGCGTGCCGGTCTTGTTCCACCAGTTGCAAAATTTCATCAACTTTTTCAGTGACTGTCCAACCAGAATAAGGTGCATCTTTGACATCGAAATTTCCAGAATGAAATCGAGCAAACCACCCCGGGGTCCTTCATTCACTCACAAGCATTCTCACCGTACACTACACAAATTTTTCAGTGTGTTTTTGCACGTTTTTTTATCTTTTTTATAGTAATAAAGCATCACGTAGCATATTTCTTCAGATATTTCACTCATTTTCAAATCAATATAACTTTTTACATGAGCAATGAATTAGAAAACTATCTACACAAACATTGGGAGTTGAATGTCACATTTTAAGCACATGTTCATTTGAGACAATCGGGTGAGTGTTGCCGGATATGTAAGCATCAACATCATCTAGTGGCAGAAAAAAAAAAAAAAAAAAAAAACCGTGGAGATTTTTCATATGACCCAATATTTTTTTATGTAATTCCCACTGTTATTGAGGCATCAGTAATAATGCAACACTAATTTCTGTATCCCCTTTTTTATAGAAATTTGTTGTTAATCCATTCATTTAATGCCATGCATTACTTTTTGTTTCTTTGTTAGTGAATGATTCTGCTGTGGAGAAACATTTATAAATTCAGAAAAAGGTGTTGTAGTCATGACGTGAAGTTTTAAGTGGTAGAGACTGTCATTCATTTGCTCCAGCTGAGCTTGAGCAGTTGTAGGTAGAGAATTTTAAGTGCTTTTGTTCTGTGGATTGACAGTTCAGTTCTTGATTGTCATGGATATTGATTTTTCATTATTTGTAACATGCAACTCAAGAATTCAGTTGTTTCATGATGGTATTGAGACATTTATGAATAGTTTAAATATAATTTTTTTTATGGTCTTTGAGAGACAACCTTTCCAACCCAGACAAAATGCACCTTTCAGTAGTTTAAACAATTTTTAGCAGTTTTTTTGGAGGAGAGTTCTTGGGTTTCATGTAGAGCACATGCCCAATTACAAAACTATGAAATTATAATGCTCAGAAATTTCTATGTCAGTATTTGTTCCTCATCAGTTTTTCATGAGAGTCAATTTGCCACTGTGTTATTCATGATGAACATTATCTTAACCTTTATTTAGTTATTTCTTTAAAATTTTTGCCATTCAACAAAAATAAATACCCATAAATTTGATAGTGCATATCTTGTCAAAACTCACTTTTTCTTATTCAGAAAAGGAAGGACAATCATATTTTGCATTGGACAGGATTTTTAATCTTCTTATTCATTAAAAAATGAGAATATGATTATGTAGTTAAAAATTAAAAAAAAAATATTATTAAATTCTTGAAAGTCTGAAGAAATTGCTGCATACTTGCAACTTTTTGTATATATTATGTAGAAAATGTAACAAAATGGAACTTACTTTCTAAATATGCCTTGCAATTTTTTAAATTTTAATTATGCATTTATTTTTATTTGTAGGGGCAGATAATTATGAGTCGTGGTGGTTTAAAAATTGAAGAAAAGGGTTGGCTTGGCTTTTGTAAAGTATGTTCATAAATTTTGATAATTACAGTTTTTGTATACTTTTGTAACAAACATTTACTGTGATTGAAAGGAGTTCTTATGAAAAGTACAGAATTTAGTGTATTTGTTTCATTAATAAAATATTGCATTTCAGGGATATTTATATTTTCAACCTCAAGCTGGAGCTTGCAATGAATTGCTCAAAATAGATGTGGAAACCTTGAAAGAAAAAGAACATGTGAAAGTAGATGGTAATGTAACTTACAAATTTAATACTGTAGTTCAATTCATGTATTGTAAGTAACTGTAAATTTTTATTTATCATCTATATTTAAATTCCTCAAAATATCTGTAGCATAAATATTTAATAGTTATATTTTAAAATTACTATTATTTTGGGGTTATTGTTTTTCCCTCCTGTGATGTGGGAATTCTTAATAAAGATGCCATAATAAATATACTTGCAAAACAAAATTTAAATTTTATAATAAGGTAATTTTGTTAAAGATATAGCACATTTGATTTAAAAGTAATTACCATATTGAAATTTCTGAGCTAATTAGTAGCAGAAAATGTATATTATTGTTTACTGTTTTGAATAATATTGGATTTTTGTAAAATGTAGTGACCGAATGGGGGCCTTGTGCTTTTTTTACTGATGGTGATGACCTGGGACTTATTATAGCTACAAAAGAGGTATTTTCTAATAATAATAATGGTAATATTTTTTGTTTTTGTTACAGATGCTGTTATTTTTTTACTATGATGTTATGTATTTGCATAATACTATATTTTTTACCTATAACATATTTCATACATTTCAAAAATTTTTATAGGATAGTTTTATAATCAAAATGTACAAAACTGGTGTTTCTCCCATGCCATGTGTCCATGAATTAACATTGAAATTAGCTAGAAAATGTTTAGATGTTTTTGGTAGTGGAATATTTGAAGATGAAGCTACATACCATACTATAAGTAAGATTATGAATTTTTTGTTAATACATATTTAAATATTTATATATTACATGTGACATGGGGAAAAATATGTAAAATGTGTGCAGTATGCTAAAAATGTCTGTCTCTTTTTTTTAATGTGACAGATTTACCTGCTGAAGATGAACCTGTTAGTATTGCCTGTGGCAAAGATTTTGCTTTGCTGAAAACTGTCAGTGGAAAGGTATGGATTTATGTTTTCTTTACATTTGTCTTGTTAAGTTTTAAACTAATCAAAACAGAAAAGAAAATGTATTTCAAATTTCAACCACATGCACAACTTAGATTATATGATTATTAAAGTAAGTAAAGTAAATTATATAATTTATTAAAGTAAAATATTTCATGTAACTCTGTCGTAATGATTTTTTTGTTTATAAAGAATCATTTAATTTAAAAAGAGATAAAAATTAACAAATCAAATGTTTTCAATTCAATATATATATAAATATAAAGATGCTTTGTAAGCTTGTACTCCCTCCGTATCTAAATGATTATCCTATTTGCTTAAATTATTTATACTGAAATTATTGTTCAGTTTTAAAAAACACTGTGTTTTCTTGCTTAGTTGCTAGTTTCAAAACATAAGTATAATTTATTAAGTATTTATTTAACTTTTATTATACATATATATTATGTATTATTTAATTAAAAAATTTATTTATCGTTTCATGGGCCACATTAACAGATTCTCTGGCATATGTAATAAATTCCAGAAGCGTGTTTTGAGATTTAAGCACTGCCTTTTTCATGTGTTCTTATCTTGTAGTTCAAGTTTTGTGGTGCTTGAAACATGCTTTAGTATACATTCTTTTTATTATTATTATTATTATTCTCTGCATCAATGCGTTGCTGCATCACTGCAGCTATAAGGCTTCTTAATGAAATACGTTCGCGAAGTGGGACGTTCTCGATTTTTCCAAAATCTCTTCATATCCTTTGTGTTGATGATCACTGTGCCTGTTTACTATTGCCTCAATATTAAGAGATGGCCCACCAACAGAAGAGATAAAAGGCCACTGAACACTGGTTGTTCAGTTCAGGGGTTGAGTTGCAGCAAACAGGGTGGCTGCATGGGCATTTTCATGGTTTTCCCCATGTGTAACATGGACAGGAGCCAGTTTTCCTTAAAAAGACTTTCACAGGGCATCCCTCTCTTTTTGTGGTCAGAGTACATAACAAGTTAAAGAAAAAATTAGGAGGTTCTTTTCTGTCAGCAGCATTTGGCTCACTGCTGTATCCTAGAAACAGTTTTGGCCGTCACATCATGTTTTTTACTGATAGCTACTGTACTACGTTTAGTTCTTTCATTTTCAAAGTTTCTCAGTAACTTATGTAGAATCACATTTCTCTCTTCAGACCTAAACTGCATTCCCCCCCCCAAAAAATGATGAATAGTATAATAAGGGAAAAAAATGAAAATAAATTGATGTGTAATATAAAAATTCTATTCTATAAAATTAAAAGGTAATGCATTCAAAAACACTTTCTGTTCTTAACCTGATACAAATTTATAAATTGGACAATTATTTCAATATGAAGGGAGTATTATTTTTCTGTGATTAGGAATTATGATGGGAGATCGTTATGGTTCTCGCAAATGCATGTGCAAAAGTATAAAAATGGATTAATTTCCTTCCTTCTGCATTTTTAAAAATTTGTTATTATTTGATGTAAATTACTGCTAAAATGATTTTTATTCATTATTAGGAATAATTGTTTATTGGCAGTATTAAGAACCATCATTGTTCTATTATAAATCAGTTTTGTATATTATAATGAAATCACAATTTTGTGATCCAGATATTTGTGGCACTGAATACAGGAAATATGACATGAGAAATAATTCACAGGAAAATTCATTTTGAATGCCTAACAAGAATTCCAAAAATTAAAAATTAGAGAATTAAACTGAATAGAAAATTAAATAAGAAGAAAAATATAAACAAAAATTAGAAAATTAAATTTGATAATCCACTGATATAAAATATTTTGGATTGTGATAAGGAAGCTGTTTGTTGTTTTCATTTTTAACTTAACTGTGAAATTTTAGAAAAACTTTCTTTGGAATTCTTATATTTTTTCATAAAAGTTTGTGGAGTAGACAGTGGCACTGTAACTTTTTCTGTGAGATCCAATTTCGTTCCTTGAAAGGATTAATCTTCCAAGGTCAAACATCTTTTTATAGTAGCTGTATTTATATCTGAGAGGGAAAAACTTCGAAATAGTCACTGAAAGGAGAGCTGTTCATCTGACTACTTGTTAAATAAAGGTAGGAAATAGAGCAGTTCAGTTAATAGGGCAAGTTGCTTGTGATCATTATTCAGGGTCAAGTTCATTTGATTAAATGGTGTAACTGCTAAAATATTTTAGGTTATATTATGGAAAATCTTAAATTCTATGAAATGTAATAATAATAAAATATAGAAAGTGGGAAATTTTATTAACTAAAAATGAAAATCATGGAAAAATGTACAGTACACTGTAATGAGCAAATTTTACAACTTCATAATAATTGCTTGAAATCTCAGAATAGAAAAATTGGATTTCATTTCATTTTATTATGCTAAATGTAAAAAAATTTACTTGTTATTTTAAAATAACTTTTTAATTCTGTATGGTAAACCGTTAATGTAAATTGTTTTACAGATTATGTATTCAGGTAAAGCTCAAAGTATGGGAATAAAACAAGGTGGTCCTGCGATGGGAAAATGGACAGAGTTACCAATAACCAAGTCACCAAAAATTGTTCAATATTCTGTTGGTCATGATGGTTTACATGCTCTGCTTGTTGCTGAAGATGGTAGTGTGTTTTTTGCTGGAACTGCTCGACGAGGAGAAGATGGAGATCAAAGTATGCGGCTTACAAAAAATTTATATGCAGATATTAAGTTTGTTTACTACAGTGTTTTTTTTAGTATCATTTGATATGAAATAACATTGCATGATTTATTCAGAGAAAAGTATTTTGAATTATTTTATGGTTACTGTTATGTATTGCCATTAATTACTGAGCTTTATGTCAAGAAAAATTTGATGTTCTCAGAATATGGTAGGCATTCTCTTAATTTATGAAAAAGCTTTTATGCAAAAACAAATTAGCAGAAATTAAGATTAAAAGTAGTAAATTTAGCAGTAGCATATTTTTCTGAAAACCTGAGTTTTGATTTTCGTAGTATTCCTTTATATGGCATGGTGCATAAAAGTAGTTGTATTGTACTTACTCCTCTACATCTATAATGTATATTTTCTAGGTTTTTTTTTTTTTTTTTTTTTTTTTTTTTGTAACAAGGAATTCAAATTATATTTTATTTTTTTGTCTTAGGGAAATTCAGCTTATACAGAAGCCATAACAGTTTTCATGTTATTTAATTTAATATTTGAATTAATAGAAAATTATTATTATTATTAGTAGTATTGTTATTAAACTAGTGCCAGGCATTGATCATCAGGTCATTAGGTGACAAGCTCTCCTATACGTGTTAACAGTACAATTTAAATCATTTAGTGCAGAACACTTGTCCAGATGAGCAGCAGTCATGTATTGTCCGAAGTCACACAGAACACAATTTAATAGAAAATCTGAACAGATAATTTTAAGATCTGTATTTACAATGATAAACTAAAAGATATACATATTTCAAGTTGTTTATCATTCAATATTTTATTTAATATTTGAAAAATAAAGAATGTTGCTTCAGATTCCTTTTCATAATATCATATTTTTAGTCCCTTTTAAAAATTTATTATTTGTGTATAAAATAGTATTAAATATTTTTTCTTTTAGATATAAAAAATAGAACGAAAAGAAGTGATTGAGTACCTATTTTATATTCAATATTTAGGTAAAGGCAGGAGACAGCCAAAGCCCACAAAACCGAAAAAGATGATAAAACTTGAAGGCCATCACATTGTAACATCTGCATGTAATAATGGAACTAGTGCTTTAGTGTCTCAATCAGGAGAATTGTATTTATTTGGAAAAGACACAGCTCATGCTGATCATAACACAGGTAATAAAAATTCATTGTGATATTAATTTTTAGTTTTAAAATAGTCTTAAATTTCTTTTTGTTAAATTAGTAATACACTTATCATCTTTTAACATTAAAATTTGGTTGTAAATTTTTTTCTTCTATCTTTTCTGCTTCTTCTTGGGTAACTTTCTCCCTGTTTGTATAGTTACTGTTATATTTCAATGAACAGATTTTAAATTCATAAAAGTCCTTTTTTTAAATAAAATTAGAGTCCTAGGATTAGCTATAGCTGACAAGTCACAAGTGCCTAAAGTTAACAAGACAATTTAAAAAGTTTTCATAAACTTTTTATATGAATTTAAAGTATGATACCATAATTTACTTGACATGTATATTATTACTTAGTGGGGAACATAGAGAATTAAAACATAAAAAAATGCAAACAAATTTTTTGACCTGACAATTTTCTTAATCATTTGCAAACAGTAGCCTGAATTACTCATTGTTATTTATCTGCTTTATTCTCTTTCAATAAAAGTATTGTAATTAGGTTTTTAAATCATAAATTTTTTCTTCAGATAGCTGAAATAAATATATATATATATATTCGAGGAAATTAAATTTTTTGAACACTTTGTAAATTTTTAGATGAGTGTTTATGTAAATAGTTTACATTGTTATGAAAGCTTACTTTAAATTTTAGGACTCGTCACTGATATAAAAGAACCAATCATCCAAGTTGCCCTTGGCAAAGCCCATATTCTTGCTCTGACTAACAAAGGTTATGTTTATACTTTTGGAATAAACCATAAAGGACAGTGTGGTCGAGAATTCAGCCATGGTGCAAATAGAGAAGGTACAATGGTTTTGTTATAAGCAACTGTATGAAAAAAAGTAACTGTGATAACATGAGATTTGAATTTTTTATCTTATGCTTTTATGCAGCATCTTTTAAATTCTGTTGACATTCTTTAAGTGATGACTATCAATCATGCTTTGCTCTAAAGACTGTATATCTCTAATTTTCTATTAATTTTTATATACTTTTTCTCTCTTCATTAATGTTCTCTTTTATCATTATTTCACCACCAATTTTTATTATAATGTTTATGTTTGGTCTTTATTTCTTTATTCTTATTATTGTTCCTCTAAACTCTTTATTCATTCTCCAAAGGAATTTAAATATGATATATTTTTTTGAAGTGAATAGGAGAATGTAAAAGAACTCATTGAAAACAATTATTAAATTTTTTTCATCTTTTTCTATACAGATATACTGTATATAGAATTAAAAAAATATATGAAGAAGGGTGAATTTTTTAGATTCAAAGTATTACATTTTTATATTCTTTATGGGTATGGCTTTTTTAAGTTAAAAACAGTTTTAGCTATTTACTGAAAAGTATTGCGAGGTGAAAATTTTTTTCTTCATTTTCAAAACATCAAAGTGTAACACATACATGTGGAAGCTAAAAAAACTGCATCTGTTTGGTATTTTTATAATCAGTTGTTTGCATTAGTTATAAAATGTTTTTTAAAATAATAAAATTAATATTATTGGAGACTACTTAATTAAAAAAAATTGTGGATTGCTTTGTAGGTTTTTTAGACAATTTAATAATAAGTTACAGTAGAACTTCAAATATTGAATGCCTCTGATCATGAATAATTTATCTGAACATAAACGTTTTGGTATCTCATATCTTTGGATGAGGAATGGTATCTCAAATTACAAACATTTAAGTCAATAACAAATAATTTTAAAAGAGGTTTTGATGTAATCACTGATGAATTAATTCTCATTGGCTTCTGAAAGTATCATTTTTAATATTTTCAGTTGCTTAACTCTCGTTAACAAAGGTAATGGTAAAATAGGAGAGTGTGTTACATTATAGCTGCCATTTTGTAATCTGAAAGAATGAGACAACAAGAAAAGAAAATTTGTAAAAAATAAATTCTCACCTTGTTTAAGAGGAATTAGAAGCCTAAAATGTCAACCAAAAAATACTTCAATGCTGTTAACTTCCTGAATATTTTTTCTTATGAAATACTGTTTAAGAAATGCATTAAAATTAAAATGATGAATGATTGCAACTACCTATGAATTATTCTATACCTGAAGAACGTTTTTGTATGATTGTAGTTTCTCATGATCATATCATATTTCTTAAATACTAGATTTTTATAGTATGAAAAAAGCGTTAGATCATAATATCTCACTTTTAAGGAATTCAATATCTCATATATTAGGAATCATCCTCTAAGTAAGAGTAATAATTTTTTTTGTCACACTGAGAAATTATATTTCTGAATTATTGTCATTATGCTGAGAGAAACATATCTCCAGTGTTCTATTATATGGCATATATTGCATTAAAATATTTGTTTTTATATCTGGAATACAGCAAAAGATTTGAAAGTTGACTAAACCTATATCTTATTTCAATTTATTACATATTATGATATTACTTAATTTATCTCTTGAGATTTAATTTCAATTTCTCATTGTGTATTATTTTTATTGTTATTTATATTTATTTATTTGTAAATGAATCCATAAATGATTGCATGGTTCCATATTGTCTCCCTTATAGTTCTGGTTCTTCTAACGCTAAAAATTAAGCTGTAATCGAATCAATTAAAAAATATGTTTGAAGACATTTTTAATGCATTTAATCTAATGTGTATTATTTAATGATACAGTTAGATATTTTAGGTGGCTATTTAAGTGGTATTATTAAGATATAAATTTTGGAAGTGCAGCCAAATTTACTTTTAATGTAGCATAATTGGGGCTAACTATATGGGCATATTTCTCATGCTTTAGTTGTATCAGTCATTTTGCTGTTTTCATTTATATTTTTGTTATTTGTGAAATTTGTCAATCATAATGTCAGATAAAGTTACATTTGCTATTTTTTATTTTGTTATTCTGATTTGATATTTAAAAGTGTACTTTTCCCTGTGTAGATGTATCTTTAATATTGTAGTGTGTTTTGCATATGTAGTTGTTTCTAATTTATAATATGTACATATATATTAGCTCCTTTGCCTATTGCAATGGCAACTGCGACTGAAGAAGATGGGGAAGATGAAGATGTGGAGTCAGAAGAGCCTGATATTATTTGTCCAGCTGGTAGGCATCAATGGAATCATGATCACTGTATGGTATGCACAGTATGTGGAGAATGCACTGGTTATGGAGCCAGTTGCATTGCTAGTGGAAGACCTGACAGAAATCCAGGACAGTAAGTATATATTTTAATAGTAAGAAGAGAATGGTATAGTATAGATAAGATAAGAAAATTATATGAGTGTATCTATATCTTTGCTACATATTGATAACGATAGTGCAAATGAATAATGGATATTTCTTAGTTTTGCTTTTTGTGAAGTTAAAAATGATATAAATCAAACATATTTATATATTATGCATTTAAATGGCAAAACTCATGGGATAACATTATGCAAATTTTCAAGTTGTGCTTGTGTTGCAAAACAGTTGTGTACAGACTGAGAGTGTTATCAGTTGTCATTTTCATCAATCATCAACGGATTTCATCGTGATTATGGCAAGCCATGGTGAATCATCAGATTTTGATGGAGAAATGGTAGTAAGAAACTAATGAATAGGACATGCAGTTTTTGAAATTATTTCAACATTCAGCTTTCTTCAATCAAAAATATTTTGCATGTACTAAGATTAACTCAGAGAAGGTATTACTAGTGATCATAGGTAGGGCATAGACAACTGGTCTTAAAATGACTGTGATCAGTGACAGGTGACTGAAATTGTACATAATTATAGACAAGTGGCATTGTGTGAATTAATGTTTAGATTCAGTGTGGGAAATATTATAGGCATATTTATGAGGTCATTATGGTGAAATTTAACATTAATGTGATATGGCAGTTGAAGATCCACCGGAATGCTTTTACTAATAACAGGCCATAGTCATACTATATGATATGGTTTGGGGTTTTAGGTCTTGCTAATTATGTAGTTAAATGATAATTGCTATTTTGAGATGCTTGGTGATCATTTGCTGCCTATCAATGGACTTCGTGTACCATAAGAATGATGGGATTTTCCAGGATGGTGGTGTTCCATGTGATATATCAAGTTTCATATCCATAAATGGGACATAATTATTCAAGATTAATGTGAGAAATATAGCAGTTAATTCTGATGAAGGTGTGCTGTCACATCTGCTGGACATAGACCTAGTGGAACATTTTTTGAAATAGGTCCATTTGTGTACAAGATCTAGTGTTTGCATTGGCGGTTATGGACAACTATTGAGAAGGCATGGCTCAACATCTCTTTGTTAATTTATAAAATCCATACTGTACTGAGTTAGATGCCTCATCAGGTTACAAATAGTCTCAAATGATGCTGAGCAAGTACCTCATGCTTTTGGCATTTGAGTCCATGTGTATATATTTTATATAATTTGAAAATGTTGAATCAAATGAATAAGTGAAGACCATTATATATCAAACCTTCCCTAAACAGCTAGCCATGATTTCTACTAATTTTGGCCTTCTGCAAAAGTGGTCGCTGTAAAAAACAGACTATCATTGATACCACTGTTTAATTATGTTCTCAGAAATATTGTTTATTTTCAGAGGTAGTCATATTTCGAAATGACTGTTAAAAATTTGTCTCAAATAAAAATCTTAAATAATCCATAAATTATTGTATTTTCATTATTATTATTTTCATTATTATTATTTTCATTATTATATTATTAGTATAATTATATTACATAAAAGTATTATTATATTAATATGTACTAAATAATCTGTAGTTAATGGAAATACTTTTGTAATTCAAGTCCATAAACTGTAAACATATATATACTTACTCTTCCCATGGCCGGTTTTAGACACTTAATGAAATATCATTGTGTAAATACAGACAAGGATGTTTTTTGGAAGATTTTCAGAGAAATTGTTATTATTTATAAATGCCAAATTTTTGTTCTTGAGCCACCAATCAGTTAATTGGCTATCCAGTTCTTCTTCACAATGTTATTAAATCTCAAGTGCCAAGCACTTGTCTCAGGTTTCAGCTGGCATAATTTTATGTAGTTTCCAAGACACAGTTCAGGGATTCTACAAATCTTTAGTAAACTGGGCTGGAAAAAAAAAATGCTCTGGAGAGCAGTTAAGTGGAATGCAGCATTATTGAAGGTTCTATATTAGGGGCCTTTTTCATTTTCTTTCTAGAAAAATTTAACTTATTTTATATTACATGTAAGGAGAACCATGATAGCTTTCATATTATTAGCCTTATTACTGATTAATGAACAGATAAAACTACTAGAGTTCTGTTGCTTTAATCACTTAATAAATTCTTAAGCATTAACTACATTTATTAAATATATTTAATATTAATTTTTGGGGGCTGTATGCATGTATAATCAGACATTTTACATGTATAATGTGTTTAATTAATTTATATAGAATTATGTTAATTACCAGTGTCCCGGTAAAAAAGGGAGGATTGAGGGAAGGGAAGAAGAAAATAAATTGTCGAACTTGTCTTAAAACTTTCTTTATTAACATGAGAATCATAGTAGTACTGTAATAACATTTTAAAATTCTGAATGTAAAAATGTGATATACGTTTAAAACTGCATGTCTATGGAAAATAATATTTATGTGAGTTAAATTTACTAATTTTTACTAGTCTGTCATGGAAAAAAAAGTATATTAAACTATTATAATGAAATCTTTGGAAAGCTATGGTCTGTGATGAGAAAATATTGCATAAACTGGGAAGAATAAATGCTTTGTTCATTCAATAAAACAATTTTTTTTTATTCTCTTAGAATAGAAATGATTAACTTAAATTATCCTGAATTACATTATTATTAAAATTGCCTCAATAGATTTTGACAGCTTTCAGGTATCCAGGAATATTCATATTTGTGCTGCTTTTATTTTTCTATAATTTGTAAGAAATGAAAAGTTAAATATCAAAAATTTCTGTATCAGATAAAAATGTAATTGGAATGAATAAAACTGCTGTATTTTGTATAAAAGTTTGGGTACATTTTTTATGAATTATATTTTAAAGGCCATGTGGATGTGGTGCAGGTGATTCAGGTTGTGTAGAATGTGGTTGCTGTCGCTCTTGTGCCCGTGAAAACGATCAAGATTTTGATGTTGCTGCTGCATGGGGCCAACTTGTTGCTGGTGGATTAGTTGACAATAAACAAACTGATATCATAGTTTTTGATGTCAGATGTGGTAAGTGAAGTTTATGGAAATATATAAAAAGGCATATAAGGGTACTGAAATGTGTCAACTTGGAATTGTAATGTTGTGTTATAGCATGCTTCCATGTTGCTGCAAGATTTTGCTGCTTTTCTGTTCATTGTCTTCTTTTATATGCAGTTATATTTCAATCATAACTTTCATGATGCATAATACTGATATTTTTTTGTTTTTTGTTTTCTGGTATTTGGATGTTAATAACATGCAGAATTATGTAAGAAAGTTTTGTAATTGTTTGTGATTAATTGTACCTGCTGTTTAAAATGAAATATACATATATGTGAATATACTATAGAGTAATACTATATTAAAGATGTATAATATCTGAAAAAAACTTCATTCAGATATCTTTTCATTCAAATGTCATTTCAGTATTGAAAAATACTGAAAATGAATTTCTGAATTTTACAGATACATCCTGTATATACAGCATGGGCCGTATACAACTTATAAGTCTGGTCCCGTAGAAAAAAAATGCATATAGTAACAACATCTTTTCAAAACATTCACTGTGTTGCATATTCTGTTGAAGATAAAATTTCACTATCATAGCACTTTATGTGTCTTAAATATTTACTATTTACTTTATTAGTTTATTTACTTTACTTTATTAGTCTTAAATATTTACTGACAGCCTGCAAATCATATTTTTAATTTGGAACTTGTAGACCACTTCTTTCATATGTCTCCCCTCATCCCCCTCTAAAAGATCCAACTAAGTGTGATTTATCTTTTTCTATTACACTTTTGTCCTTAATATCCAATTCAAGGTTTGAAAAACTGCACTAAATTCTAATATAAAAAATTTCAATAGGTCCGTATTTAAAAGGAATGCTTCATATTTATTTGTAAACTTTAAAATTATAAATTGAAATATTGTTATTAAAAAAATTTCTGATTCTAGCATATTGCCATATTTTCTTGAATAAGATATCAGATCCCTTTTTATAAATGCAGTTTTGCTTTTGTATAAGTATATGCATTTATCTTTTGGGTAATTTGCATATGAATTTAAATTATAATTAATAAAATTATTGGATGGAACCATTTTATTTTTTAAGTATTAATCATGTTAAAAGTTTCATAATTTATTGTATTATATTGAAGATATTAGGTTTTTAATGTTTTATGTTTGATGTTAATTAATATGTGCAAATAGAACTATTGCAGATAAGTTTTAAAAGGGGTTCTCAACCAAGGGGAAATTCCTTCCTAGAAGAGAATGTGGCCAGCCTTTTATTTAGCTGCTAAGTATTTTGTTTTAGTTTATGAATATAAAAAACTACTTTTATTCAATGTAAAAAATTTAAAAAATAAATCTAGATAAATATAAAGATTTATTTTTTAATTTTTGAAAAGGGATTATGATCCAACTATAGTGACAGGGAAGCATAGAGCAAGAAAAGGTTGAGAATCTCTGTTTTAAAATAGTAAGGTCCATACATAACTGAATTAAATTGGATTATTTATGGAGGAAAAACATTTTATCTAGCAGTGCTTAGGAGTGTGTCAAATGTTTATGTACAAGTACTATTTTGATATTTTATGAGGTATTGAAAAAAGTCCATACTTTTGATGAGCCATACTTATAAAACTCTGTAATTGCAATTAAAAAGTGTTTTCCTCTTGCTAAAAAAATTGCTGTAGTATTAATGCTGTATATAGGCTAAGTGGATTAGACTGTCATTGTCATAAGAGCATAGTTAGATAACTCTTGGATCCCTGCACACTCTTGCCTTTAGTTCTTGAGCACTGTGAGTGTAAAGGTAAAATGTGTAGGAATATAATAGTGAGAGTCTGGGTAACTGAAATATATTTCATGCATAAGCTCTCATACATTTTGTGATACGATATTTAACTTTTGTTGTATATTAAGGATTTATAATTTTCTCTGAAAATATCAAAATTAAGCTTTCATAAATTTCAACTCCATTTATAAACAATGTTTTTATGAATTTAAAATAATTTGTTTCATAAAAGTTAACTTTGTAATAATTTTGTAAGTAATTTTAATTTATTTCTTTTGTATTAAAATAATGTAAAGCTGTTTCAACTTTTAAGTATTTTCAAAAAAGTCAATTTCTTTATAAATTTGTGAATGTTTTCTAAAGAATATATGAAGAAATTGAATCAAATAATGTATAATAGGTACAAAAGTTGCACTTTAGTTTGGCATTAGCAGTTGGTAGAATCTAATTATATTTACCAAAATTTGTGTGTAACTAGTTATTTGTTATTGTGTTGTTGTTTATGCTTACTTGTCTGAGTCAGTTCAAGCCCATGAAATTCCTCATGGCAAGTAGCACTATATTATACCTGCAATTGGCAACAGACTTGAGCACCATACAGGTGACAGTGCAATTTAGCTCAGTTTCACCCCCAATTTTGATGGAGAGCATCCCTGGAGGATGAGTCTACCTCTAGTTATAAATAGTTATATTACAATTTTATGCATATGAATAAACATTTGAATTGTGAGTATTTACAAATTTAAAGCACCAAAAGGAGAATGAGTGAAGTTCTTTAGGTGAAGCGAAATTAAATGTGGCACAGAACATCTGTCACAGCTCAAATACAGAGACCAGTGATTTCATTGGTATGTGCTAGCACTTGATTTTCATGATCATATTGCCAATAGAAAACCACTGATCACGTGTACCAGTGCCTGATGCTATTTAAAGTATGCAAACAAAGCATTTGATTTTTAAGGAATATTACTTCTAGGAGGACAATGATCATATGTTCCAATGCCCGGTTCCATTTGGAATGTGCAAACGAAACGTCAGTGGATTGTGGAGCAGTGAAAATCATTTTATGAAATCTGAATTTTGGTACATGAATTGGCATGCCTGTGAAGATATGTGGACCTGTCATTTGCCGATATGTAGTGTATCAACAGTAATTGTGCAGTGATTCTGGATGGTTTTTCATGGTTTGCACCCTTAGTTTTAATCAATAAGTAGTCTGAAGACCTCTGGCAGAATCTGTTGTAGGTAATAACACGCTTCTTATAGCAGCAACAGTTTAGAATATGCCCTTTTCTGTATGTGAGTATAATAATGTTTCTATCCACAGAGCAAAGTCAGTCAGTTTATTATTAGTTATAGAAAATCAAGTTCTTTTCCGGTTTACCCAAGGCCTTTTTCAATAAACAGAGCTACCCAAGGCCTTGACTTGAGCCCAGTCAAATAAATTTAAGATGAACTTGAATATTAGTGGGGTATTAGAGTTACTTGACCAATTAAATGCACGTCAGCATTTTCCTGTATTTCAGGAAAAATGGAAATAAATTTTGCATGTAATATGAGAATGTATTTATATAATCTGAAGTTTTTTGTTATAATCATCTGCATACAGTGTATCAGAACATGGAGGGAAATTTATCCCAAAGACACTGTAATAGCATCAAATGATTTCTCATAAACAATTCAGCTAGTAGCTTTGGAATCTATAGTAATAAATGCCCTGAGACTTTTTCTACATATTTTGGATATAATTTTACTTAATGAAATTGCATCGCCATAGACTTTTAATAGTCTTCAATAAACAGAGCAAAAGACATTGGTTTCAATGAAAAATATGCCTATAAGGCCTATAAGAATTAATAGACTAGCCAAAGGGAAATATACTTGACCAAATAAATAACCAGGGATATTTGTACCAAATAAATTCATATTATATTTTCATACAGTTATATGCAAATGAAAATATTAGAAAGAGAAGGTGAAATCTAATGTTATTTTGCATTTTAATATGCTATTAAACATACAATTACATGATATGATTACATTACATGATATGATTACATTACATGACAAGATTAATGATTAAGTAGATGTATAACATCAAATTTTCTGTCAGCAAAAGTGTCTGATTTTCAATATCTTTCAATAATGTAAGCACTAGAGCATTTATCAAATTGTGGTTCACAGATCTTGTGACTAAGTTTTTATCCTGATAGTCTATAGATAGCCTTGCCTTCCTTACTGATATTTATGAGGCCATTTTTATGATTTTTATGATTTATATTTATGAGGCCATTTCTTTGATTGGATGAAATACAAGCTGCTACATCTCTTGTAGATTGTCCATATTTTACAAATGGGCAAAGTTAGCCATCATACCTCTTAAATAGTAAGGCTGTAAATATTGCAAAATAGTGAAAACATTCTTTTATATTGGAGTTGGATGATGATGCTGTTAGCTGTGTTTATAATATATGTATATACATACTGATAAATTTCAGATGATGTTGATATAGACAGATGATACTGATGTTAATGTTGGATTTGCACTCTAAAAAGAGGCAGTTATGAGCATTTGACGTTTTGGGCATTTTGTAAGATAAAACACAGCAAGTCCATATAACCAAAGAAATGTTGAAAATGTTAAAATATCTAGTTATTTATTTACATAATGACTTCAGGGTTCTAATGTAAGTAAATGCATGTACCAGTTTTTTTTTTTATGTTTATTTATCACGTGAGATTCATTATTCTCATTTTCCATTTCATCAGTAGTAATGATCATAAACATATGTCTATCATAATTATTGTTTTTGTCAGAATTTTGGTGTAACTTTATAAGAAACCACTGAAGTAGCTGTACTTTTTACAACCTCAGTTTGAAGTTATATGTCATTAAACATTTCATTTTTATATTTTAAGATGTAATTTTTTTTTAATTTTAAAATAAATTCAGAATAGTTTTTTTGAAATGGACAGTTTTTGATAGGAATTTTTGGTATTCATTTAAAATCACTGTCTGAGCTTTTGCTTTAGAAGTTAGAATTAATAGTGCAATTTTGATAAGGGCGTGCTGGAGTACGACTAGAAGATCGACTTAGACGTAGGATTGAAGAATATAGAATGAGGCAACGTAGAAGGCAGGTAATCCAATCTGTCAAAGCCATGAAATCTGGTCTTGCTGGGTTGAATAAATTACGCAGTGATGTTCCTGAAAAAAGCTCTCCACCTATTATTGGTATGTATCAAATGCTAGAATTTTCTATTGAATTATTTAAAACTGTAGTTTTATGTATGTATAATTTTTGTTTGTTTTATTGTTATTAAATTTTCACATACATATTTTCCTTCTATAAAAGTACAAAATTTAAATTATGGCATGAATTATATATTGAAAAAGAGAGAGAGAAGCATTTTGAGTGAAATCTTTTTTCTGTGTTTGTGTGTACTAAATATTTCTCATAAACTAGTGTTATTTTATGCACTTAGTTGCCTTTATGCAAAGGAGAGATATTTTTCAAAGTGCTTTTCTTCAAATTAATTGTAACTGTTATTTTTTCTTCTAAATTCTAGATGTAATTTAAATTAATATTCGTTATTATATTTCTAATTTGATTATTATGTCTATAAGGAATAACAGCAGGAAAAGTCAAATTACATTGTTTTCTGAATGACCGAAGCTCTGGATTTAATCTTCATGAAAGTTATGATACTGCTTTGCTTCTTTGCATGCCTTAATTTGAAACATTGTTTTCTCTTTTATTTTTCACAATGTTTGGTGTTAATTAAAGTTTCTTGCATTTTTATTGGTCTTATTTTTTTATGTAAGCATAGTAATTAATTTTGAGCTTTACTAGTTGTATGACTAAAACTCGAATTTGAAAATGCATAAATTAGAAGCTTGAAAGTGAATTAATTTAATGGTTTATAAGCTCTGTTTATTAGAAATTCAAAAAAATAATTTTTTTAAGGTTGTATTTTTAAATAATTTTTATGTTTGTTTATTGATTGTTTTATGATGTTACTTTATTTGATGTAATTTCTCTTTTTCTTTTTGTATGTAATTGTTTGTATTCTTTTCTTTCATTCTCTCATTGTAGAGTTTCAATAATCAATGAAAATATCCTGTTCACATTGACAGAGAATTAAAAATAGTTGTTTAATACAATTGAAATTTTAAAAAGTAAAATTGCCACATGTTGTGTTTGATTTGCATAAGAAGAGAAAGAGAATAAGGTTGTTGTGAAGACAGATTATCAATGTCTCTAATTTTTGTAAGGATAAAAATTGGAACCATTGGAAATCTGTCTTCATATCAAGGGGACTCATTCAGTTATATAAAGAGACAAGCATCATTATTATTATAACTGCCAAGTACAGACATTGCACATTATGTGGCTAGTTATATAATGGATGTATCAAAATCATAAACTTTATGCCTATGGATATTCATCATCCATGAGAATGGTAAAAGCAGTTGTTGTGGGCAAAGATCTTCCAGTCTTGGGAAAAAATGTAATAATAAATAGTCAGACCAAAAGTGTTGCTTTTCAGAAATTAATAGGGGACTGCTTAAACAAAGAGACAACTAATGTAGTCTAAAAACATAGTTTTTATTAAAAAAATTGCTCTATTTAATGAAAGTATGCCAGATCTGAAGGAATGGGCTTGAATGACATAATGTGCTAATTCTTCACCACATATAATAGCCAAAACCTTAAAAAAAATCATACATTATAAACTTGAATCATGCATTATAAAGCAAATTAAAGTCATTTTGGAATTAATTTGAAATGGTGTTTCTGCTCAGAGTAAAAAACCTCCTGTTTTTCACAGTTTTTAAGATTTCAAAAGTGGCAGCTATGCATGTTTTTTGGACAGCTTTAAATCACATAAAAACTTTTGTTCTTCTGTGATTGGATTATTTAACTTAGGCCAAGATTGTGTGCACTGTTTGCTTAATACATTTGCTGCCAGTGTAGGTATTTGAAACTTCAATAAAAACCGACTACTGTGGAAACATGTACCTCAGGCATACATTGGCATGTGATTGGCTATTAGATGATATTATCACATCATGCGCCAATGCATGATTGCCAGTAACAAATTTCATCTCAATTTTGACTGAGAATACTAAAGTAGATATAGCTAATGATTTCTCACACATTTACCCCCTTCTATAATCAGTTTGTCAAGAGAACTTTCATAGTGATTGGTTTTAAGTGTCCCTATTTTTCATAGACATTGTAGTTGCGAATGTCCTTACCTTGTTTCCTATTTAAACTGGTACCAATGGTTTATGAGGTCAACCTCTAATAATCACCACACCATTCAGGACAGCCAAGTTTATTTGAAAAATATAGAGTTAACTTTTGGTTTATTAGAAATGCTTTTTAGCAAAACTCTCAAGTGTTTGATTGCCTTCACTTCCTTTGTGGAAACATCATCCAGATTCAATTTAAAGTGCAAGCTCTCTTAAATTTTCCCTTATTATTATACCTTTGTTTTGCATAGGATTGAATTCTAATTTATATGCTCTTGCTCTACTAATATAAAAGTTAAGCATATTTGAACAAATAAGCAGGCAAAAATAAATATTTTGCATTGAAGAATAAAGAAGATGCTACCAGTATTTACTATGAAAGTGGAAGTTTTAGTTTGATTTCATGGCTTAGGCTCATTGTTGCTTTTTTCTTATCTGCATAAAAAGTGTTTTTGAGTAGAACTTCGTAGATTTAGATTGCATTTTACATATTTCTACCACTATAATAACAGAGGATTTCCACCAGTTAGAAAAACGATGGTTTGCAGAGATTAATTCAATCACTACTTTACTATTAAATGTTCTCTTGTATGAAAATTTTGTTCTGGGGAGACTATATGAGTATGAGATATCGTAAATGACCAGTAAGACAAAAATTTCAGATTCATTGAATATTTTTTCCAACTAATGCTTTATTGTGAAGACTGAGCTATGAAAAATAAAAGATTTGACTGAGTAGAGAAATTTCTCTTTTCTGTTCATAGCATCATTTTATGTCTCAAATAATATCTGGTATAAGATAAAATTATTGCAATGATGTATTTTCTCCATTTGTGACTTGCTTAATTTTTTAAACATAAGCAAGATTCTGTTCCATTCTATTAAACAAAAATCAAGATTTCTTCTTAAGTTTTATTTTATGTATTAGTGAAGTTTTAATTTTAAATTTCTAATATAAATGGTGGAATGTATTTATTAGGCATTTTTCATATTAATGTATTTAATAGGTATAATTCTGTGTTTACAGTTGTCTTAAATAAAATTTTTTTCTTTACATATTTTTATAATCACCTTAAAGAATCTGTTTTTCAGTACGGATTGTCATCTAATTGAGAAATGGATCTTCTGTGTTATTGGCCATCTGCTAATTATTTGGTTATTCCTGTGCATGCAAAGGTTACATGCTAATATAGCAAAAACTTCAGGGTATTTTTGACTATAAATTCACGAATTAGAGTTTAGAAACATGCTTGTCAAACTTCTTTACTTTTCTGATACCATCCAGATACAATTCAAACATTGAACGAAAATTTTTACTTTACTTTTCTTGGGCTGTTTTCTGGCTAAAGCTTTCAACTAGTTATCATCAGTTCTAAAAGGACTTTATTTTGGAGGGTTTGTATTTGGTAGAATTTTTGAATTGGTCATACATTCAATAGCTGGGTTTTGATCTTATCTTGTTCAATATTTTGAGTGACTTTGATCATGATGTGATGTAAATTGAAGTATATGAAAAATAACTGAGTTTTTCAATACTTTATTCCTTTATTAAAATATACCTGAATATTTAATTTTATGTAACATATATTCACCTAAACATCACATAAAATATGAAAACTAAAACTTACCAAAGAAAAACTTCAGGAAAATTTAATGGGCCAAATCTATATAAATATCATTTTTAATTTTCAGAGGGTTAACTCTGAGTGGCACAGGTTTTTGGGTTTGCCTGTATGTATGTAGCATTTATTAGCTAAATTTATATATGAGTAATTACTTACTTTAGGCTCTATTTTCATAAATTTATATTCATTAAGATTACATTCACATTATTAAAGAAAGTAAGAAAACAAAATATCTTAAGTTATAAGCTAATATCTACCAAGTGATAAAAAAATCTCATGACTGGATAAAGCCGGTCATGCTGCTCAGAGGGTTGATAGATATAAATTTAATGAATTTATTTCTACATTTGCAGAAAGAGATTTTGTTTAGGATTATTGTAAATTGATTGTTTACTATATAATGGATAAATATCAATGATTGTTATGTATTTTTTCTGTCACTAAATTTTTAATGCCAATTTTGGTTCATGATCATTTGATTGTACTTGGAAATCATTAAAAATTCTTTTTGTTATGATGCACTTCTTCTGCTTAAGATAAATCTTGATAATTATTAGTACAAATCAAAATTTTATCAAATTTGCTATTTCTTCTCATTTTATGATTTACTGAATAAAATGTTTTTTTTTTTTTCTGAGATTGTAGAAAAATAGTTTTAATTTTATATTACATTTAGTAATAAAGATAATAGTAATTATGATTAGCAGTTATAAAGGATAGCATAATTAAACTCTGAAACACTAGTGAAAGTAAATTATTCTAAAATTTTATGTACAAGCTGATAAAACATTTCAGTTTGAGTTATCTTATAGACTCTGTCTATTTTATAGAAATTGCTGCTGCTTTTAAGATAGTTGTTCTGTTGGTTAATTAAACTGAAGATGTTTTAGTAGAAATCTGTTGTCTGCTGTACATTAAATAACATTTGTATCCAAATACTCACAACATATATTAGCTTAATAGGCCACTTGTGTTTTGTGTTGTTGCATATGGCTTTATTGGAAAGATCAATCCAAATGTATAAAACAGCTCAACAGGACTCGTACGGTCCTTAAGAGTCCTTAAGTTTTTTTGAATTGAGTTTTGGTCCTTAATTTCAGCCAAAATCATCAGAAGGTCCTTAATTTTAATCATCTGAAATTTCTGTCTATTTTATGACTGCCATTTTGAGTGTGAAATATTAACATTTTGGAGTAATATTTTCGGCGATTTGCTGACAAATAATGGTTATCTTTTGAATGGGTTCATGGGTTATAAGTTGTTCCTATTTCTAATATAAATGGTGGAATACTCGAGTTTCTGAGCAAGAAGTGAAACATAAGTATTTCAAAATTATTTCATTTTTTCTAA